TAGTATAATTTTATTGAAATAAAATATGTTTTTTAGATATCCATGAACTATTATAAACGATTGATAACTTTTAGATAAAATTATGTAGTTTGCTTTTTCACGTTTTACATCCTTTGATGCATACACTCATTGGTAACAATAGATTCCTTGAAGTTTTCTCCTGCTAATTTTTTTGGATTTGCGTGGTTTTATTAAGATATTATATATGATTTGATGATTTGTATACTTCTAACTGAGTTTTAATTTCATGTATTAAAAGGCCTTAAAATTGAGTAAAAAGGAGAGCTCAACTAGCTGCCTGGTTAATGCTACCTAACATTAGATAGCTTCACAAAGTCCCAATATAAGTTACCTTTTGATTTAGGACTTGAGATAGTGATTTCTAGGTAATATTCTTAAGTGTTATGGACTGACATAAACCGAAGCGGAGTGGTATGGTGGGGCCTCCTGAGAGGCACATGATGGGTGAAGGCTATGTTCCTCAGGGTCCTTTCACCGTTTTAGCACCAGTTATTCATGGCTTATGAAGATTGAGGAGCTTGTGTGAATTTAGGCTAATCTTGACTTATGTTTTATTAAAATTGTTATGTATACATTGTCTCTAATCGTCATTATGAAAAATATTATGCCATTTAGATAATTTTACTTAATTGTAATAATATTAACATTGTTATGGTTGAAAGCCTGTTAGATCTTGATTGACTGTTTGTGTTTTGAACATTTTTTTGTACTAGTTTGATTCTAAAATTCTTGTATGAATAAAATTGGTCTAGGATCAAGTAGGTGCTTCATAATTTTTTCAATTAGTGGAGGTGCAATAGATGCCCATACTTTTCGACTTGAAATAGGTTTTAAATGTTATGTATTATATGATCTTTCATTTTAATGATATGACTTGGATTGGAATGGATAGAGAGGTCATATGTATGACTATTAAATGCTATTTATCTTTATATTCTTCATGGTATGCTTGGTAACATTATGCTTCTAATTGGTATGTTTTAAAGAGGTTTATGATAACTATGAGACTGCGATGATTGTAATTATACCATAATCAAGATATTAATATAATTCATTATATTTTTTTTATTAATGAGAAGCAAACATATACTACATGTATAATAATTTTGTGAACTGTTATGCTTATATATTTATGAAGTTTTTAATAATATTTACTTCCTTGATTTCAGATTGAGTTGGGGAATTCAGTTGCTCAACTAGCGAGTATATATATGTCTAATAATTCCATGGAGCATAATTTCATTGCATTATTTTAAGGACAAACTTTGTTGCCCCTCCAACGATCGAACCATATTAGCTAATGGTATAACAAGATGCAAGCCGATTAATATGAACTATTGGTTGAATTTAAAGATTTTTTTGTGGGTGATTTGCAAATTAAGATGAGCTTTAAAATTTAGATCAGCAAGCTTACAAAATAAGAAAAAACAAAAATTAAATATTGACGTAAAATTCTATAAAACCTTAGATACCATTTATGTGTAACTTATGATAACTGATATTGTCCTTTATGAGCAGTCCTTTGCAAATTGACTTCACTTTTCTTGTATATTCATCTTCAAGGGCTGTGAATTCATGTACTCAAGAAGTTTTTCTCTTATGTTAAGAAGTGCATATGAACAAAGTAAAAGCACATATTGACATTTTTCTTCATTCATAAGCAAGTCTGAACACCACAAGAGACTTCATATTTGTAGGAATAAGTGGAAAAGATCAAAGATTCTAAAATAAATACTCAAAATTTCCACAACATCTATGCCTACCACCAAATTTAAACCTATGACAAATTTATATCTACCACTATTTTCATTTACCTAATAACATAAAAAGTTAGCATGATCTATAACATAAAAAAATGATCCGATACATAGAGGCTTCAAATACAATATGACTCAAAGATTCTTTGCTAATCACAAGATGCCAACATTAATGTATAAAAGAATATATACAGTTAGACATTTTCTAAGGCCTAAGATTTACACTTAAAATAAAAAATACATCAAAAGAATGCATATAACTATTGAGGACAACATGTGTGTTATATTAAATAAACTCCAAAATATGTGTGCCACATCATTTTAGGAGGTGGGTCGTTCTAAAAGTGCTAGGGGCAGCCACAAACAAATGCATGGGTATATACTTCTATACTTCGGTATGAATTGACTATTATGCTTCAATGTGGATTCACTTTTCTACTTTTTAGACCATACTAAAAATAATAAGAAAAAAGTAAACTAAAATCTTGATAGAGTTTTAAAATGATATGGCTACGGATGAGAAACATGTGAAGTTATCTTCACATGGAAGGTCCAAATAAAGAGAAAATGAATTATGATTTTATGTTATGAGGTTACCAAGACTGAAATAAACTTGTTGCTATATTTTACAACGTAAAAATCATATTCAAATGTTTTGATTTAAAAAAAAATTGTTTAAAATTATTTTTTCTCTATGAATGCATTAGTTCCCATCCATTTCTTCATCAGAACACTTGGGAATATTGTTGCTTCCTTAAAAAACTAGTTATATGTTTGTAAAATTATTAAGTTTGTTAATTGATTTCTTTCTTGTATATCAAGATCAATTTTTCATTTTAAATTTGATGATACTATTAATGATTTTGGTTAATCGACATAAATTTTAGGGGCATTTACATACATACCTAATTCCCATGTTTTTACATATCTAACACCTAAAATTTGATTTTTTTACTTTTATACCACCCAAATCTTTCACATCACATCAAAAATATCACAATTTTGACTTTTAAAATGAATTACACGCTTTCATGCATAGGCAAGGTGACATATATGTAAGAAGATGAAGTTTAGGTGTTAGATATGTAAATACATACTAATTGAGTGTATATATGTAAAGTTTCCTAGATCTTGAGAGCGAATTGGTTAGGTTCACCATATATTGGAATGCTAAAATAATACTCTTATAAATTTCTAATTGATTGTTGTGAGGTCCCTATTTGTAATTTTTCACACGCCACTTTGCATTTTATCGTTCATTTTCTAATTTGGCTTCTGAATATCCACACTGCAGTTGTTTTCTTTTTTTCTTGCCTTCTCTTGTGACGACAATCATGGGCAAACATTCACCTTCACCCTCCCTACCAGAGGCCCACATGTGCTATCATTATCACCATCGATAGAGACGGCCATGCATGTCAGATTGAGGTGGTTACATTTGTGACCATCACCATCTATAGTTGAGATGCCACATTCCCAAGCTTAATAAGATCAAAACTATTAATCATTTTCTTGATTTAAATTGTCATACTATTTTTCATGCCTTATAACATTATTGGACCGTCCATGGAAAAAACTTTATTATAAATTGTTTGGCCCTATAGTAGAAAGTTATAAGTTTCATAGAGTCGGACTTATTCAAATGACCACTAATTAAATATATAACTTGTAACGTTGTGCAAACCAAGGTAGTTTTAAATGTTTAAATACATGACAGAAGTTGTGCTTCATTTGTGAACTTCTATGTTTCATCTGAATATCAGCTGTCATAATTATCACATCTATTATATTTATTGTTATACTAACTAAGATTTTATAGGAACTATGGCTTTAAATTTTCTTGATTCTGGAATTCCTTTATTGATTTCTTTTTTGGTTAGATCTATATTGCTGGTGTCACTCAAAACTTGTCTTTTATTATGCTTACTATTGTTTATATAATGATGAGAACATTTGATGCAAGGGAAATTTGATGAATTATGATCTTTCGCCTTGCATGAATGTGCATCTTAGAAAGATTTTACTTTAAGGTTAGATATGATTTTCAAGACAAAATATGAGATACTGTAGTTGCTCGTTCTATACTCACGAGAAAGACGTCATTCTCTATTTAACATGAGAATGGCAATCGATTACCTATTAATGCTCTTAGGGCTAGTAATTCTTCAATTAGATATTCTACTCCCGAGCTTTACTAATCTAATCCACATTGTGATAATTCTACTCACAAACGACGGAGGAATAAATCCATCCCGTAGTAGGATTTACTAAATCTGGTTTTACGTTGTATAATTGACGGAATGTGAGAAAATTGGATTTAATTTTTTTTTTTTTTTTTGGTGTACTAAATCTGGTTTTACGTTGTATAAGTGACGGAATGTGAGAAAATTGGATTTAATTTTTATTTTTTTTGGGTGCTTGGTTGGATTTAAGTTAATATTATGGCTAAATCCAATTAATAAAATGCTATCAAACACCGCCTTAGTTGGAAAAAAGGCTTAATAATAATTATGATGTTCACAATTTTCACTCGGTTGCATTATATAAAAAATAGTCATGAAGAGACTTAAAGGTAGACAATTATTTTTCTTGTATATTTTCTATTTTTGAGGTTGTGTTGTTATGTTGTATTGCAATAAATCAAAATGACAACCTATTGCATAAATGTTCATATCATTTAAATGTTAATATGAGAAAACTCTACTTTGTAGGCTAATTACGGACAACATTTGTCATCGTTTTTTTCCTTAATTTTTATTACTCAGCATATAAAATTAAAAGAAGTTTCTTCCTTTCTGTGTCCCATAACAACCTCGTTAAAACCTATTCTGACTTGATTTATAGTGATTTATGTGCATTGCTCTTGTTATCTTGCATGCAAATTATAAATATTTTATGAAATTTCATTGATAATTACAACAAGTATACTATTTTTTTAATAAAAAATAGGAGCTATAGACCATCTCATATAAAACATGAAGCCTATTTTGAGTTTTATGATTTTTTTTTTCAAAAAATGGGAATTATTTCCTATTATTTATGTCCTATACAGTTCAACACTTCAACAAATTATGGTCGAACAAAAGAATTACCACCTACTAGATATTCAAACCTTATTGCTAAATCCTAACATTATTAAAAAAAAAAAAAAAAAGCTTATACTCCAACAATTTTAATTTTCAGTGATTGCTTTTGATACTCTCTGCTCTACTCATCATGCAGAGAGATGATACAGCACAGACCCTACACACAGAAGGTGGATGTGTATAGCTTTGGCATTGTGCTTTGGGAGCTCATTACCGGCATGCTCCCCTTCCAGAACATGACAGCCGTGCAGGCCGCTTTCGCCGTCGTCAACAAGTCCGTGAGACCGATCATACCGAGCGAATGCCCCCCAGCTCTCGGCGAGATCATGACCCATTGCTGGGATGCCAACCCTGATGTTCGCCCTCCGTTCGCCGATATCGTAAAAATGCTCGAGAATGTTCAGGCTGAGTTGGCCGTCTCTGTTCGCCGGGCACGGTTCAGGTGCTGCTTGACTCAGCCGATGACCATAGACTGAACCATGCTTATTTGTGTGCATTTGTTATTTAGAAGACTGGTTAAGGAAGATGGTGAATGAGTTGAATATGCTGCTTCAAGCTGTTTCCTCTTCTTCACAAGTATTAATGCAAGTTAAGTTAGTTGTCACTGGCTCCTTTTTGGTTTAGTGTTTTTATTGTATGAAATTTCATTACTCCTTTTTTTATTTTTTATTCAAACAAAGGAAGCCTTATCTTTAATTTAATAATTTATTGTTATTATTATTGCAAATATTTTTTATTGTCATTTGGTGCATTTACATGCTTACCATATTTTATTGTTTGAGTATTTACATGTATAGCACACAATTCTTATTTATTATATATCTCGCACCTAAACTTTCATATTTACAGACATCGTACGCAAATTTTAATATCACAACAAAAATAGCAATATTACTACATTTAAAGCACCAAAGTGCTTTGTAAGGTATGTAAAAACATTAGAATTGTGTGCTATGTATGTAAGTTTTCCTTTATTTTTTTTATTAATTTAGTTTGTTTATGTTTTAATATAAAATAAAATATGTTTGGTATGTTTTAGCATGCTTAGTTATTTAAAAAAAGATAAATAAAAAAATATTAGATGTTAAGGATTTAAAAATAAAATGAAAAGTTAATTTATTTTTTAAAATGAATAATAAAAATATGTAAAAATGCATTATAAATATGATTCTAAAATAAATAAAATATAAGTAATCCCACATAAGCCTAAAAAATAAAAACAAAAGATCAAAAGTTTGTATCTTTTCATGGTAGGTTTATGCAACCAAGATGTTATAAATGTGAATATCAATTTCTAGGTGTTTGAGATGTAAATTCATAAAAAAATGTTTTGAATGTAAATTTCCTAATTTATATTTGTCAATATAATATCTTAATTTCTATAATGTATATTGGTTTAATGTTTAATGATTTAAATGTTTTGGGTTTATATTTTGTATGGATTAGGGTTTAGGATTTAAGGTTCAAGGTTTGATCATTTTAAGATTTTAGGATTTATGGTTAAATGTTTAGGGTCTTGGGATTAAATTTTAAGATTTAATTTTTAGGGTTGATGTTTTGGGGCTTAAGGTTTAGGGTTTATGGTTTAATGTTTATTGTTTAATATTTTTTGGGTTTACTATTTATGGTCTTAGGGTTTTAATATTTAGGGTTTAGGGTGGAGTGCTTAGGGATTTTTATGTTTTATGATTCATTGTTTTGTTTTCTAAGGATTAGGATTTTGGATTGAGATTTAGTTTTTAGGGTTTAGGGTTTTGTTAGTTTATGCATTAAGGTATAGGGTTTATGGATTGGTTTTTATGAGTTATGGCTTATAGTTTATAGGATATAGGGTTTTAGGTTTGGAATTTATAGTTTAGAATTTAGTGTTTAGGGCTTATGGTTTAGTGTTTACAATTTTAGATTTAGGGTTGAGAGTTTAGGGTTTAGGAATTATCATTTTTTATTGAGAATTACCATGGTTTAGGTTTTTAGGGTTTATGGTTTAGAGTATAGAATGTAAGGATTTTTAAATTAGTGTTTAGGGTTTAAGATTTAGAGGCTATATGGTATAGGATTTATATTAGGATTTATCATTAATTTTAAGCTAATTCTTACTAAATTCCCATTTTAGACAAGTTAAATTTATGTGTTCACTAATTTTGAATTTCAACATTTTTGGAAGAAAAACCTAGATTTGTAATTCTAGCTCTTCGACAAATTTAGAAAATATGGCAACATGGGAATAGAAATAACGACACGAACAAGCTCATCTTTCTCTTTAGTTTCAGCTAGGAGTTGAGAGGAAGGAAGAGGAAGATAGGTGCTTTGATTGTTTATGTACGTTGTAATCCCATCGTTGCCCTTCTGGATACCTCTAATTGTGACTTTATCGCAATGTTTCCATTATCAGAGCAGTTATTTTGGGTGAAATTGGGAAAGGTAGATGGACGTATGTTTGGTTTCTGACATAGAGAGGAATCTCTTTTTAAGCGAAAGTGGTAGAGGGTTAGTAATGTAGGCAAGCTACTTAGGCGGAGAGGGGACAGAGTGGATAGGTTTGTGGCTTTAATTAAATTTTGTTTAAGTTAATTTTATTCATTTTAATTGAGTAATATGTAATAATTAATTGATATATTATTAAACTAAATATAATTTGATGAATTTTTATGCACTTATTTAATAATTACTAATAAAAATAAATTACATATTGAATTCTAATTTATTTAATGAAATTCTAACTAACAATTAATTAAAATAATTAAAAAAAATTAATTACTAATTGATTAAAGTAATACTTTTACTTAATAAAAAACACTTTTCTTAATAATATTTTCATTAATAATTAGTAAATAATAAATTATTAATAAGCATAACTAAAATATTAAATTGAATTTGATTAAAATAATAATTAATTTCTATCAAAGAAATAAAATAATGAAAGTATTGTTATGGTTTTTTATTCAAACAAACATAATAATTTTTAAAATTTTGGCAAAAGTTATCAAATAATTTTTTATGATTTAACAAGATTTTTAAATTTGTTTTAAAGTTTTAACCATTTCAATATTTGCTAAATATTGATTTACAAAATAGAAGAAATACCAAGAATTTAAATCTTAGATTTTGTCATAAAACCCCTCAGTGTTTACAATTATGGGTTTAAGGGTTTAAAGTTCAAGGCTTAGGATTTAAGGTTTAGTGTTTAGTTTGTCCATATCACATAACATTGCAATGCAGTGCCACTATGTTGAATATTTAAGTCCTTGTACCAACCACAAATTGAGGGCTACATAAATGTTTATGGATTAATATTTATGGAGGGTTCATAAAATAAGATTTAGGGTTTATATTTTTAATGTTGGTTCAGCATATACAATTTAGTGTTTAAGGTTTATTATTTAAGCTTTGTAGGTTCAATATTTAGGGTTTAACATTTAAGATATATAGTTTATTGCTATTAAAAATTAGGCTTTAAGGTGTATGGTTTAAGGGTTTAAGCATTAGGTTTTAAGGGTTTAAGATTTACAATATAGGGTTTAAGGTTTAAGTATTAATGTATATAAAGCTTAGGGTTCGTGGTTTAAGGTTTCAGGTTTATTTGTATAGGATTTTGGGTTTATTGTTTAGGTTTTAGGGCTTCTGGTAAACGTTTGAGGTTTAGGGTTCTTAGAGTAAAGTTTATAATATAGGGTTAAGGCTTTAGGTTTAGAGTTTAGTATTTTAGTACTTAGGTTTTAATGTTCAAGGTCAGAGTTTAGGGTTTTAGGGTATAAGTTTTAGGGTTTTGAGTTTAAGGCTCAACATGTTTAACTAAAGTTTATAATATAGGGTTAAGGCTTTAGGTTTATTCGTGGTAGGAAAGAAATATTTAGGATTAATAATATTTAGGGATTACAATTTAGAATTTAGAATTTATATTTAAGTGTTCAGTGTTTAGGGTTTATGGTTTAATTTTTAGGGTTTAGTGCTGAGGGAATATAATATGGTGTTATAGGTTTAGAGTTTAGGGTTTAGGGTGATAGCATTTTGAATTTGAGGTTTAGGGTTCAAGAATTTTGGTTTTAGGTTTTTCGTTTTAGGATCTATTTTTTAAGGTATAACGTTTAGTGTTTTAGGGTTTAGGGATTATAATTTAGTGTTTGGTGTTTAGAGTATAAGACCTTAATTTTAAGGGCCTATATCTATAGTTAGGATAGTTTAAGGTTTAGCTCTTCTATATCACATAGCTTTACGCAACAGAGCTACGATGTGAGATCTAAGAGCTTAATGTTTAAGATTCAACTTTTAGTCTTCTGGTTTTAATGTAGGTTAATAATTTAGTGCTTAGAGTTTATGATTTAAAGTTAAGGGTTTTTAGAGTTTAGGTTTTATGATTTAATGTTTAATAATTAGGGTTTTATGTTTAAGATTTTTGATTTAGGATTTAGGATTTAAAGTTTAAAAGGTTTATGTTCTTAAGGTTTAGTTTATGGTCTAGGTTTTAGGGTTTACAATTTAAAGTTTATAAAGTTTATTATTTAAGATTTATGATTTAAGGTGTATGGACATAAGATTTATGATTTAAGGTTTAAAGATATAAGGATTTAGGTTTTATAAGTTAGGTCTTAGTGTTTAAGATTTAACATTTTAAGGTTTAGAGTTTAGGATTTTTTTAGGTTTAGAGTTTATGGTTTGTAGGATTTAAGGTTTAAGGGTTTTGTGTTTTGGTTTTCATTTTTTTTTTTTGGTGTAGGGTTAGGTTATGATTTCTTAGGTTTTTTGGTTGATGTGTTAAAGTTTAATGTTGAGGATCTATTGGGTTTAGGGTATAATGATTACTGCTTGAGGTTAAAGGTTTTAAAATCCTAGTATTTAGGTTATAATATTTAAGAATTTTGGATTTAGGGTTTATATTTTAAGATTTAATGTTTATTGATTTGTTTCTACATTCTTAGCATTTTGGTATTTTGATTTTTTTTTAGTGTTCATGTTTTAGGGTTTAGGCCATAGTGTTTTTAGTTAGGGTTTGAGTTTAGGGTTGAACTAGTTGTTATCACATCACTTTACACTTATATTAGGTTAATATTAAATTTTAGGGTATAGAATTTAGGACTTGAGATTATAGATTTATGGAGCTTAATAATTTATGATTTGGGGTTGATTTTTATATTTTTTAGGGAGCCACGTAAAGAATTTATTGATACAAAAATAAGGATAAAAGGAGGCCAACTAGGGGTTCCAAATACACCCAAAATATAACGCACAAAAAAGAAAACAAGTGGAGCCACCACCGAAAGGTACAACTCACACCAAAATCTAAAGATCAGACCATTCGTAAGAACTGAATAATATATAACGACGCAGTAGAGATAACCAAAGATAAAGAGCTTCCCATAGATCAAACCAACCATAAAAAAATAACCATAAAAAACTCCCATAACAGCAAGCAACTAACAATGAAGACCTAGCTCGAAAAGGCCAACCACATAGTAGAAAAAATACTCCAATCAAGATTATCATGAAGAAGGCTAAGCCAACCTACCAAAAAAACCAATGAATGCAACTTGCAAAAGAAGACTTAAAGAGAAGGTTAGAAAATAAAGTAGAGAAAAAAAAAACAATCATTAAAACATGTCAGCAACAAATACTAAAGAAATGAACCACCAATCAGGAAGATAGGGGCTCAAACTAATCACAAAA